TATTGGTGCAACATTACCTATTGATAAATCCCTAACTTTAGGTCTTTTTTAAATTGATTCAATTGTGAAATAAAATATCACGACGTATGTATCTAGGGAACAGTTGCTTCAAAGTGAATCTGTTGAATTATCTTTGGATAAACTGGAACTAACCATATTTGCGATCCGACTTTTTTTGTATTATGTTCTTTCAAAATGTGAAGAATGACTTCTGACTATGTTTGTAAAGGCCTACAATCTATGTCAATAATGTGATGCTGCATATTCGTATGTTTTTCAATATGTTATTTGTTTTCATTTAAACGAGGATGAGGTAGCTTCCAATGTATGCTCTCCTTTTTGTTTCATTTTAGCCTACCCAAGCTAGTTTGGTAATTGGTACACACGCTGTATATTCTTGTTTAGATTTTATAACACAAGGGAATCATAAATCATTAGGTCGGAATGCAGATTCTACATCCCTCAATTCATTCCATCAACTATATATAGCGACTATGACTGTTTGTCTACGCTTGAAGTCTTAGGGCCTGTCTGTTAGCAGCTTAATGAGACTCACAGCTTATTCAGTGAGCTATACATGAGTGTTTGGTAGAGTCAGCTTTATCCATTCTTGAAAAAACCTTCCCACACAAAAACCTTCTCAATCTATAGAGACAGATGAATCCACAAAGTCAGCTTTATCCATAGTCCATACAGGACTTAATGGAAAACCAACCAAACAGCCCCTTAATGTCTGTAATAATTATATAGTGTCGATATAACCCAACTGAGATTATTAAAAACTATGCTGATTTATGTAAGGCGTAGAGGAAAAGATGCCAAAATCATACAGGGCTGCATCAGATCTTTCATATTTTCGAGTTTTGTGTCGATAGATGTGATAAAGTAGTAGAATCAGAAACACCCGTTTTCAATGTATTTATATAATTATTATTATGATTGTATTGATTATGGTTGGTTATGGAATTTAGATTGCAAAAAGTTCAAGGAAACAGTGCAAGAGGTTGCAGAGTCGCAACACGAGGGGAAAGAGGAGGACAAGAAAGAAGCTTCTAGTACTGCCGGACTGCTTGAAAAGTTAAGTGTCGATGATAAAAAAGAGGGCGGCAAAGAACTTGTTAAAGAGTCATCCAAGACAGAAGATTCAGAGAAGAAGGAAGAGGCTCCAATTGCTGCTGCTTGAAAGAAATTGAAGCAAAAGGGAGGTTAGTAGTTATATCATGCAATCAGTGTTTTTATGTTGAGGGAAGAAATTTGATTTGTTGGGTGATGATGAGTTGTGTTTGTAGCGATTGGTATAAATATATAGGAATGGTTGAAGTCTGCATAAAATATGTTTGTTTCTGATTGATTTTTTTAAAGTTATTTTGGTTGATTTGAGTGGTCACTTCAGTTTTTTGGTTAAATGTGAAACTCTGGGTCTTTAAGTTTTGATTTCTGAGGGACTTGTTTTATTTACTAATAACCCTGAACACCCATAAAAGTCTTGCAGGTGTATCTTTTCACCCGTAAAAGGAATCAGGTGTATGGCCCCACTCGGATCCTCATGGGTCGGCCCTTGCATGGCCCAATAATCTGAAAATTCAAACCATGGGTCCCTATCGCCTTTGAAAACAGCGGTTAACCAATCATAAAACCGGTGCTGGGTTTTTCTTTCATAATCAGGGCGTGGAGTGGACTATTATAATATTGGAATTTTGAATTATTTGATGATGAAAATCTGAAAGGCAAAACTATAAGAGTTGTGGTGTAATGATTAAGGTCTTTAAGGATGTGGTCAAATATCTCATCTATTCAAGGTTCTATTCTAAGCATATACAATAATTATGATCGTTAAATTATCAAGACTGATTTTTTATGGTCATAATTTGTTAGGGTTAATTCAAAAAGGTTTTTTATTTATTTAAAGACAAGTGAGGAATAGGAGGGTTTGGGGTGGAGATGAAGTGAAGCGCACGTGTGGGAGATATATAATATTAATAATTGGTTGATGTTGAAACACCACCGGAACTTACATATGGTTCGTTTAGTAGATGGATGATTTTGGGGTCCTCTTTGCCCTTTTCTTTCTTTCATTTGGTCCAAGTGGTAATGGTGTATTGCTTATTGCCTAGCAATTTAATGAATTTAATAAGAGTTTATTATGTCATATATATGATTGTTTGATAGTGGCTTAATGATATAAAAAAATGACTTATTCAATAAGCGTATATGAAAAGTTTTATGTAAAATGCCAAGTTTTTTAAACTTGCCTCTTTTAATTAAAACATATGTTCATTTTATTCATGAAAATATCTTTCAAACAAAAACGTTGACAACTTTATTCATATCTAATTTAATGGAAAACCAATCAAATGTTTTCTTATCCCTCTTTATTATTTTATCTTTTAATAAAATATTGTATTATAATGATTAATTATTATTTGTCTTTGTAAACCGTTTAAATGACAAAAATTTCAAGTATTTATATAGATTAAATGTTGAATGCAAAATAATTATTTGATAAATGTTTTGAAGCACTAAAAAAACCCATTTTGTGAATTATAATTGTTTCCTTGTTTTTTTGTCAAATCATTTTTTTAATTTTTTTATTTATTTTGACAATTTTCACACTATTTTTTTTTATGCAAACCGATGTTGATCAAATTATTGATTTAAAGTGATAGTAGAACAAAGAAAACAAAATGAATAAGTACCTTTTTGTTCTGTTACAATGGGATGAATTGCTTAATCTATACTATCTTATAAAGCATTTGGCTAAAACTCTTAAAAACTTTTAAACCCCTTCATCCCTATCCGAATTCATCATATATCTAAATTCGTGTAACTAACTGCAAATAAACACAATCAAATACAGGATAAACATCTCATTTTAAATATAAAAAATCTAAAATATAATTAAAATTGAGTTCTAACAGAATATTTAATTACTTTATAAAATGTTATATTACTAAACCAAAAATAAATTATTTCATTATTAAACTTAAATTAAATTATAAAAAAAATAATCTATATCTATACTATATTTTAAAGCATTTGACAAAAACTTTTAAAAACTACTTTTTATGCGTAAAGTACTGTTTATTAATGCATATTACTTAAAACTCAAGATTACAAGTAGATTGTGCGCAATAACAACTTATTAAAGCTACATATCTGAATTCGTGTAACTAATTGCATATAAGTATAATCAAATGTCAAAGACCTTCCAGCCTAGTGGTAAAGGTTTGGGCATGACATAGTCATGAACCCGAGTTCGAGCCCTGGGAGTGGAGTGTCGGCGACATTTAAGTGGGGCCATGTTTAGCCTCCAAATTTGCCGGGGATTAGTCGGGCTTTGGCCCGGACACCCTTACAAAAAAAATATATAATCAAATACAAGATAAACATCTTATTTTAAATATAAAAAATCTAAAATATAATTAGAATAATTATTGAGTTCTAACAGAATACTTAATTATTATCT